TTAACGAGGTTGTCCATTTCACCCTCTTGATACGAGTGTGATGACCATCTTACACCCCTTTTCATTGCTGTCATGAGAACAGACAATTCGCCCCTTACAATAAAAATTCCATTGCCTGGCAAAACCATTTTTTTTGTTTAATTTTTAAAAAATATTAGTTTTTTATTCCATTGAAAAATATGATAGCACAGAAACGTATTTCCAATACTCGTGTCACACTAAATGTCAAACATGTATGTCAACATTATTGGTCAACATCGTCAACATTTTTCTTTGTTTTCTCTTTATTGCATTGTCAAATGCTGATCTATGGTATGCTTATGCCAAATGCAAATGTTTATCAAATGTTTTTTGTGATCTATTAGTTGATGTTTCTGATCCATAGAAATAGAAATAACGTTATCTGTTTATGGCTATATGGTATATGACCGTTATAGAGTATGGACATTCCTGGACATTTTTTGACATTATAGATTTTTGACACTATTTGAAATGTGAGCGATGAATTAAAACATTATAAATAAAATTAATTAAAAGTGCTAGGCTCACCTAACAACTTTTATTTTTATAATATACATATCAAATTTCATATATTTTAAAAAGTAGGTATAAATAGTGAACATTTCGACAAATTGTAGGGGTTGAGCTTAAATTCAAGACGAAGTGCTTTGTGGTATGTGGTAATAGTAATTTATAAATAAGAAGACATATTTATTAGATATACTAAATGCAAAAGTATTTCATGAATGTGTTTCAAATAGTTTCACTATGGATGACAGTAAAACAGAGACAATAAATAAACAAAGACGTTGCAAAAGTGAAATCGTGAGACAGGCTGTTTTTGCTTATCTGGAAAAAAGGAACTATCCAATTGAGAATCACGAGAAGTTAACTTTACAAGAATTTGAATTGAAGAAATTAGTACAGTGTGAAGTGAGTCGTCCTAATTCTATACTTTATACGTGCTTTAACAGTGATCCTGTTATTGATCAAACTTTTATGAAATTTGTGAACTGGTTAAAAGAGTTTCCTAAAAATCATGAAGATAATAGTGATTTGAACTCACTAGTTGGTCCCATTTTTTGTCATTTATATTTTGAAATTTTACGTGGAGGTCATACTGAACGAGCATCAAATTTCTTCACAAATCACTTGCACTTGATTGATAAGCAGATCACTAATCAAGTAGTTCTCGAATTAATCAATGCAATTGGCAGTAACTCTGGAGAATTACATCATTTAAAGGAAACTTTTCAGTCACATAAAATTTCCGTATCTTTATCAAGAGAATCTGTTAATTTATTAAAACAATTTTTATCTGAATCTGCACATATAGTTTTATTGCAAATACTACAAAGTTATATACATATAACTGAATTGGAAAAGCAAAAAACAGATGTTGAATTTGTAAATGATACATTGACCAGTAATCATTATAGAACAAAAGAAAAACATCAAAATACTATTAGCAATTTACAAAAAGCAATTTCAGTATTGAAAGATGATCAAATGCCTATATATGTAACACATCTACAAAATGTTAAAGATGATGTAACATGTGGATTATTAAAAAGAGAATTTGGTACTGCTCTCTTTTGTTATAATAATAAAATAGTTGTCAGATCTTTGATTACTTTGAAACAATTACCTGGAACAACCAATTTAGAAGATGTTGTACTTTTAGGTCATAACAAACAAATATATGAACTTTCATTTGTTAATCAATTAAAATTTGTTTTGTCAGCATCTGAAGATAAGACAATTCGTTTGTTTGATTTAAATGATTACACCCAAAAAAAAGTATATAGAGGTCATGAATATCCCGTCTATTGTGTGGACTCTTGTTCAAATGCAAATTATTTTATATCTGGCTCTTATGATCATACAGCTAGACTTTGGGTGATTGATCGAAAAGATTCATTAAGAGTGTTTGCTGGCCATACACAAGCAGTAACTTGTGTAGGTACACATCCAAATTGTGCATATTTTGCTACAGGATCTGCAGACAAGAATCTTCGTCTTTGGACGCTAGAAGACAATATGCCTGTAAGACTATTTTTAGGTTCCAAAGGAACAATTTATTCTACGATTTTCAACAATAATGGAGAATATTTGATTAGTGCTAGTGACGATAAAAAGGTCAGAGTGTGGGATCTTGTAGCTGGCAAAGAATTATTAGAATTAGACACTAACTGTGATCTTGTTTCACACCTTTTATTATCTAACGATGATAAGATATTGATAACTGGTACAAATGATGGTATAATAAAGTATTGGAATTTTGAAGAAATTATTAAAAATGAAAAGAGTGATAATGTTAGAGAACCAATAAGTCAATTTTCTGTGAATGCAAATCTTGTGAATGTTGAACACTGTTTTGATACATTTGGGTTTCTTACTTATCAAAGTGTAAGCTAATAGAGATATGTTGTTAAGAGACTAAAAATACTTTCTATGTATTGACCTTATAAGAAATGTACATTGTCTAAAAANCTACTTCGATTTAAATTTTGAAAATGTGTACAAAAGCATTATTGAATATGCTCCCCTCAACTGAAATAACGAGATCTATGTACTTCCGGTTATACCGGTTCTTGTAATCAATTTCGTTATTTTAAGTGGAACGCCCCGTATATTATAACGGTTTTCAATTCTAGTTACGAAGGTCTATCTAAAACCTTCATAATGTTTTTCTACTTCTAAAATTTATCGTTTTCGAGATATTAATTAAAAAAAAAAAAAAAAAGTAGCACGCAGTAGAAAGCGAAAAAGCAATCCTATTTTAAAGTAAGAAAACTGAAGCAACAATATTGTCAGAAGATATACCTATACTTGAAAATGCCAATTTTCTACTTCAACGGCAGATAAAACTCCCCTTACATCGCGTCCATCATTCATGTAAGGTAGTGGAACTCGCGCATCATCGTTTAACGAGTCCTTTATTGTATAAGGAATATTGTTGCACTTCAATAAACTTTTGTTTTTTACTTTTTTATTATTAGTAATTGAAAAAAACTGTAGAGAATAGGGAACTTGTGCCATAGAGAAACATCAAAAGAGCATGGTTTAATTTTGACTATCTACTTAGGTTAGTAGAAAGTGCATTTACTATGTAGATTATAAAATTTCGTAATTCAGTATCTACTTCATGAAAAACATTCCATTTTCTTTAATATAACAGTACGCGAATATTAATGAAAAGTCTAATTTTAATAGTAACATTACAATTATTAAACTTTTCACAATAACAAATGTACGGTCCAGTTAACATGTTTACACTAAATTGTTTAACGTTCACTAACGATAGGTGTCGTCTCAAATTTTTTATTTCCCAATATTATTCAATTATTTTTCTTTTTTTGGGAAATACTAAAACACATTTACTTATCTAAACGTTTTCGATACGATGAATAATAATAATAATAATACAATAACGCCAATGTTTTTGAAAAAAAAGTTAATTTTTTTGAAAAAATGAAAAAAATACTTTTCTCAAGACATATTTTTTTGCAACAACCTGAAAATCAAATTACTCTTTTAATAGATACGTACTTGATAGCATTGTAAATTTCGTCAAGCATGTTCTGATCAAAATCTAAACCACCATTGACGCCTTTTAGATTCTTCTTAAATTCCTCACAAGTCATTGGATTATTTTGCCTTTTAACATTATTATTGTGTTGATCCACATTTAACATTATAACTGCATAAGCCAATGTAAATGCAGCGTCTGCATTTACAAATGGTTCTCCATTACATTTCTACAAAAAATATAGTCCTTATTAATGAATTAATCGATTTAGGAAAGAAATTGACATACATGCCAATGATCAGCAAAATGTTCAAGAACGAGGGAAATAAGAGGCGCTTCTCCAGGTAATCGAAACGTTTCTAAATACATCCGCAATGCGTCGTCTATTCTAATACTGGTAAAATCGAACATCTTTACATAAGCTTCAAGTATTTGTAGATTATTTCTGTTACTTATGTACTCTCCAATTTTAACCTTATCGAGAGCCGGGTTTTCTCGTAAAAAGGTTACAATTTCTTGCGAATCAAACTTAGCACTTAAAACACCATGCTCTTGAAAAAATTGTAAGCCCTTCTTCGGTTTGTGGTTAAAGTATTCATTGCCTTGAGGTAACCACTACAAACACGTTATAAGACATCATTATTGTAAGGTCTTCAGCCCAAAGATATAGTAAATACACAATTAAAAATTAAGATGTAAATTATTTATTAAAATTACTAAATGTTCATTAAACAATCATAAGGTAGTATTTTATTTTTGAAGTGAAACTTCTCTACGCACGGTAGGGTAAATTCATTTCATGCGAGTTGCTATGTAACGAAATCATGTAACGGATGTCCTCCCATCTACTCGGCCACGTAGTCGAGTTCGTAGTGGGGATCGCTTGAGCCGTGAGGGAGCTTCAAGGCAACATTCGTTACAGGCAACTCTGGCATGTATAGTGTAGCCCTAACAAAATGAATTAATGTATTTGTATGTGTTTGTGTATGTGTGCCTACACTCTACAGTCGAAACGACGCCACTGACGCCAATTCCTTAACCCCTATCCCGGTATGTTTGTATGTTTGACATTATCTC